GTGGTGGTGGTGGTGGTGGTGGCAATAATAGTAAGGGCCGTAGATTTCAAAGACGCAACCATCGCGCATCTCCACAAGCCCAAAGGGAATCGCCAAGTCTGCGACAATCACCGCGGCAACTCCCTACTGAACATCGCCGGGAAGATCTACGCATGAATCCTCCTCAACCGCCTCAATAACCATCTGGAACAGGGCCTTCTGCCGGAAAGCCAATGCGGCTTTCGTCGTCATCGTGGGACCACGGATATGGTCTTGGCCGCCCGTCAACTTCAGGAGAAGTGTCAGGAGATGCGGACCCACCTGTACTCTACCTTCGTGGACCTGATGAAAGCCTTCGACACGGTGAATCATGAAGGACTGTGGAAGATCATGCAGAAATTCGGCTGTCCGGAGCGATTCACTCTGATGGTGCGTCAGCTGCACGACGGTATGAAGGCGCGAGTCACGGACAACGGAGCTGTCTCAGAGGCATTCGCAGTGACCAATGGAGTGAAGCAGGGCTGCGTACTGGCGCCTACCCTCTTCAGTCTTATGTTTTCTGCCATGCTGATGGACGCCTACCGCGACGAACGCCCCGGGATCCGCATCGCCTACTGGACGGACGGTCACCTCCTGAATCAACGGCGGATGCGCTTCCAATCGCGCGTATCCACAACCACCGTTCACGAACTCCTCTTTGCCGACGACTGCGCCCTGAACACCACCTCGGAAGAGGAGATGCAACGGAGCATGGACCTGTTCTCCGCCGCCTGCGAGAACTTCGGTCTGGTCATGAACACACAGAAGACGGTGGTGATGCACCAACCGCCACCAAACTCAGCCACAGCACCCAACGCGCCGCCGCAAATCAGCGTGAACGGAACCCAACTGCCAGTGGTGGAGAACTTCCCGTACACCCGCAACACCAAGATCGACGACGAAGTCGCCAACAGGATCTCGAAAGCCAGTCAAGCCTTCGGTCGCCTCCAAAGCACAGTTTGGAATCGTCATTGTCTCCAACTGAGCACGAAGCTGAAGATGTACAAGGCTGTCATCCTGTCGACACTACTGTATGGAGCGGAGACTTGGACGGTGTACGCAAAGCAGGCACGTCGTCTGAACCACTTCCACCTCAGTTGTCTTCGTCGCATCCTGAGGCTGAAGTGGCAGGATCGAATCCCGACACTGATGTGCTGGAACGGACGGGAATCCTCAGCATCTACGCCATACTGAGGCAAAGTCAGCTGCGCTGGAGCGGCCACCTGGTGCACATGGACGACAAGCGACTACCCAAACGACTCTTCTACGGAGACGTCGCGACGGGTTCTCGCCGTCAAGGAGGCCAGATTCGCCGTTACAAGGATACCCTGAAGTCCTCCCTGAAATGCCTGCAAATCAACCCCACCAACCGGGAGGAGCTCGCACTCGATCGACCGACCTGGAGGAGGACAGTGAAGGCAGGCGCTGCGATCTACGAGGCCAACCGTATCGCTGCCGCCAAAGCGAAACGTGAAGCCCGCAAATCATAACTTCGTCCAGGAAGCAACGCCGCCGCACAACCGCTTCCAACGTGTCCTCCATGTCAACGGACATTCCGGGCTCGAATCGGACTTGTTGGACATCTTCGGATTAACTGCGCCTCTCGAACGGTACCAACCATCGTCCCCCCGCCTGTCTTTTCCTCCTCCTCTCCGCCGCCAACTAACCCTGACAATTCTTCTGACCCACCACTTCCATCCTCCTCCTCCTCCTCCTCGCCCACTGCTCCAACGGCGGCCGCTCAGGCGACTGTCCCGCGCACAGCAACCGACACTACCACCACCTCCCCCGACTCCAGGGATGAGGATCAGAACTACACCTGCCCTCACTGCGACCGCACCTTCACCTCACACATCGGCCTGGTCGGTCACTTGCGAATCCATCGCACAGAGACTGGCGAACCAGTGCCTAGAGCACCAACTTATATCCACTAAGCTCTCCTCAACTGCCCACACTGCCCTCGCACTTTCAGGCATCGCATGGGCCTATTCGGCCACATGCGCATCCACGACGACCTGCGCTATACAACCGCCGGTCACACCACACATTCACTCACTGCCCACCTCCTCCTCCACCACCACCACCACCCCACCAGAAACCAACACTCACACACCTCATGCACCCAACTGACACCTCCCACGCAAGTGCATCTCGACTCGGTCCCCTTGCGGCTTCGGCTGCAGGGGTGACTTGAGTCCGAGACTATCCCGACACGGCAAGTGTCGTGGATAGGAAGGTTGCTGATTGACGCCCGCTCTCGGTCCACACAGTTCGTCGCGTTGTGTGTGTGTGTGTGTTGTGTGAAGTGGCGGACTGGTGGGCTGGGAACGGGCTGAAACAGCACCTTCCACGGCACTCTCACGCAAGTGAGAGACACGCCGTTCAACCCCCGTTGTGTGAAATCCTGGTGTTGTGTGTATGGGGGGCCAGGTCGTGCCGTGGCGCGCGCAGTCATGGTCATTCGACCATGACAGCCACCGCGCCCATTCCCCACTCCAGTCTGCTGACCGGCTCGGACAGCGGCTGGGGTGTGGGAATGGGAAGGGAGAGTGAGGTCGACGACTCAGCGCACTTGTTCCTCACTATAAACAATCTGACGCGCTTGATGCTATCACGGTGCGCTAAAAGCCGTGGCTTGGAAGGGTAATTTGGACCTCCTCCTTGACCGGAGGCGGTCTGAGAGTCAGGCTGCAATGGCTCCTTCTTAATGTGGCCTTTATGGCACTCCCATCACAGTGTGGGATCCGAGCCAGGCGTTGGCGGCACGCCCAGGTGCGGCTTCGGCCGTGCCAGCCTCCAAATCTCTGTTGTGATTGGCTAAAATGCTGGTTATTTTTGTGTGGACCAGGGGGTGTAGTGGAACGCCAAGCTGAGGATCCGTCCGAGCCATCCACCTGCGGCCTCCCCGTCTCCGGTCTTCTTGACTCTGTCTTGACACCGGGCTCGGGCGAGGGAGGAGGAGAGAGTGTAGGTAGATGCTACGCAAGTCTACCGGCACTATAAACCCCTGTGTAAGTCACCGTCCCTGCTCCCATTGCTGCTGCAACTGTGGGGCACACGGTGGACATCATCGAAACCGATGGTCGAACTGTCAAGAGCCGTAGTAGTAATGTTACTGGTGATACCGACTGCAGTAGCCTTAACCCTGGTAACCATATTACAAGTTGTTTTCATAACAACAGTCGTAGCATCAGTGACGCAATAAACAATAATTTCAGCAGCATCTTTGTGGTATTCGTGGTTGTAGTGAAAATGTTAGCACTTTCTTATTTCAGTCTCCAGATTTGACGACGCTTCCTCTATTCTTACAGTTCGAGAGATTGGCTGAGTGACTATGCATTGTGCTCTTTTAATGCATAAGTTGGAACTTGTCTATTAGTCAGGTAATCGGCCTAAGTGACAGAAGAGTGCGTTACTGTTCCCATTTAGAACTCGGGTTTTGTACTGATTTACCATCCCGTTTTACAACAGACCCGTAGTTGATAATGATTGATAATGTGCTTCTGCAGGAATTTTCACTTGCGATTATTTTGTCTTTTTCACGTCAGGATCCTGATACAAAAACAACTGACATCTGTGATTTTGGTTTTAGTTTCGACCTCTTATACGACTTTATGTAAGTTCGAACCTGACAGATAAATTTCCTCTGACTTCACGCGACCGGCTTGTTTTGCCTGACAGCCGTGTGTCGCCTGTATCATTGTTTCCTTGTGTTGCATGCACTTTTTCCAATCCAGTTCCTCTGTTCTAGCCGTTAAAAAGTAACCAGATTCCCAAAGGTCTTGTCTTTCATGTTTATTCTACAGTCTCTAAATGGGAATTTAGTAAAAGTTTGAAACTTCAGAGGATACAAAAAATGATTCCAAAGTCTGATTCTTGTCATATTTGCCCTTATTTGCAGACCCATGATTATATTTAAAGTTTTTACAAGTTCTTTGGCGTGTGCGCGTAGCATTTTCTTTTATTTAAGGTTCTTATTGCCTTGATAACCCCTAAAAGCTAAAAATGCTTTGCTGTTAAGGAGAAGTCGTGCGAATCCTTTCGATTTTCAGAGTTATCAAAACGAGATCATTCAGCAAGTCTTAACTGCTAACAATGGTTGTTATCCGTTAAATGGCAGGTTTTACCTTTACGCCGTTCTTCGCGTAGATGCTAAGATCAAGAGTATGACATGCTTTCATGCGTCTGCTGCATTTATTCGTCTCAGACCGCGTTTCCAGCTTGGAAGACTTATTGTTGGCTGAAATCGAATTTCCCTGTATTACGTCAGGCCAAGGCACGCCAATAATCACTCGCAGATTGCGTAACTGTTGAAGCTTCCATTTTTCTGTAGATAACGCAGTTTCTACAAAACAGTTTTGGTTGCGATCTCGTAGAAACTTCAAAGGTAGATAGTGGCCGGCGCTGGCCCTAACAGGAGACTTCTGTTGCAATAAAGGCAAGATGACCGCAGATACATCAATCTTTTGACGCGGATTAAGGTCCAAACTGAGCCATGAAACAGGCTGGGGTTTGATACAGCAATTGACTGAGGCGTTTTTTATGGCATGACAGAGGGCCGATCCAAAACAACGGTCGATTATGAAATCAAGATTTGAGCAGGATTTTAGAAAAACCTTGCCGTCAGGAATAAGAACCAGGGGATTGGATGGAAGTCTGCTAAACGTCTCTTCGGATGCCATTCTGTTGCGAAGGAGTTGAAGAGAAGCGGACAAGGTTAAAAGAGTTACATACGTTTTGTTTTGAAATGAACTTCTCAAATTTATCGGAGAGTAAACTGCACATACTAAGTAAACGCGGCACTGACTATGAAAATTTTAAAATTAAAAAGAAAACTTAGATAGTCTAGGTTGGTGGTTATGTCTTTTACTAATGACATTGTACGAAGCGTTTCAGAAAGCCTGCCTTTATCACTGTTAGCGTGCATAAACGTTTTGTCAAAGCCTACACAACTTGTAAACTTAACTGTGCAGATGAAGAATTCATCAATAATTTAATTTGTTGTAAAACTATATGCAGCTGTCAGGTAAATATTAGAGCTTTAAAGCCGAGTTTCTTTTTATATACCCCATTTTCAGACAGTCTTTAAAAAGCCTTAGAAAAGCTAAAGTAAGGTATTTTCTTGTGTTTACTGACTGTGGGTAATTAGATTCTTGTTATGTTATGCAGAAGGAAATTGATATGAAAATACTGGAGAAAACACAATTCGTAAGTAGAAGACGAGGAGAAATTATTTTAGGAGACAGATCACCTAATGGAGGATCTCTAGTTTTCAAGCAAACGCTCACAATAGCATTCGATGCCACGAAGGTTGAACTCGCTTGTTATTTGGATCAGTGGAACTCTCCGTATACCTCGAAGTACAGTTCATCTCGAGCTTTCAGCTTCATGGCCTTAGTTTGCTATGACCAACGCAATACGTTATTCATAGTAAACAAGTCATTACTTATTTGAAACTAATTCCATAGATAAGGACAATGCATTCTAAACTCATTATGTGACCCGTCGAAGACAAGATAATGCCTATATCAGCAGAAGAGTGTCGTCTTACAAGTGGATTGCCGATTCAACCGGAAAATATTGACATGATAATATTTCATTGTCCCTATCTCAAAGGAAATAACAATGCCCGAAAAGTTTTACCCTGAAGTTAGTAGATTATTAGACCACTATTACTTTGGCCAAGGCACTTTATACACATACTCGAGATAGCCGAGACAAATATTCTCCGACATAATTTACACTACATCAAGGTCGGAAATTCCTAAGAAAAAATCTCCGAGCATCCCAACGTCTTCAAACCACGCGGCAAAAGCATACGATGGAAGAATTGTATACCTTGAAAAAGTGAAAAATCCTGAATACAAAACATCTTTTACGGGACCACGGCCGGAGTAACACGTGTCTCCATTCACCCGAATAGTTAAGTCATATTAGTTCACTTAGGATAGGTATGTATAGTAGGAAAAGGGCAGATCATCAATTTCTCCCTTTTAATTTTCCAAATTGAGAACAATGTTGCCTGTCCTAAATATTTCTTCAACATGTAGTCCTTCGGGTGACTAGATACAACGAAAGTGCAATCATATTTTCTATCTATGGTCCTCATATTAGGACTTGAGACCGAAAAATATGTGATAAAAGCGCGCGTATCACCCTATTTCCCTAGAAATATAAGATAGGACAAGTAATTGAAGTTGGATTGTACGGTGGGGGAAGAGTCAGGGATAAAAACATGTTGTGTTAGTTGATCAAATAACAAATATTTTCGGCTCTGTCCCTCGACGGACAGAGTGTTCGATAAGTTTTTGTAGACGTTAGCTTGTAGAAGATATGTGAGTGTTGCTTTAAAATACTTCAGTATTCCTTTTCAATTTTTGAGTTTTTAATGATAAAAATGTAATTTATTGTCGCAAACGATAACCGCTTACGCGTTTATAAGATACACCAATAACGAAGGCCACTTTAATTTCTCAGTTCCCGTAAAGGAATGTGGAAATCTGTGGGCTCTTCGATATTTCGGAGAAGTTTGCAGGAAAGATTTATGAACATAAAGCTCGGCTTACATACTGGAATGCCAAGCACATAATCACCAGCAACTTGGGGCAGAAACAGCGGCAAACACAGCTGTGTATAGAACATCCCGAACGGCGCAGGAGAGAGCAAAGGCAGGAAAGGGGGGAAAGTAACAAAATATGAACAGAAGCAAAAAACTAGGATCGCATCTGTTTTGTTGGGCTTCGCTAAGGAAGCAAAGTGGTGGAATATAAAGTACTACTGTCCTGGACAACCTTAGGCTGCAGTCTTTAATAGAAATTAGTGAGCTTATACCCGCTTCAACCGTCTTGAGTCCCGCAAGGAATCAAGACTCCTTCTAAGTTTTAAGCACGCGACAATTACATCCAAATCTTTGCTTAAATCGTTGCGTTGGTTT